AGTCACCTCATTAACCACCCATAGTCACCTCATTAACCACCCGTAATCAACTAACTGACCACCCATAATTATCTCATTAACCGCCCACAGTCACCTCATTAACCACTCATAATTAACTACCCACAGTCACCTCATATAATATCCATAGTCACCTCATTAACCGCCCACAGTCACCTCATTAACTACCCATAATCACCTCATTAACCGCCCAGTCACCTCATTAACCACCCGTAATCACCTCATTAACCGCCCAGTCACCTCATTAACCACCCGTAATCACCTCATTAACCGCCCATAATTAACTACCCACAGTCACCTCATATACTGTCCATAATCAACTCATTAACTACCCACAGTCACCTCATTAACCACCCATAATCACCTCATTAACTACCCATAATTACCTCATTAACTACCCATAGTCACCTCATTAACCACCCATAATCACCTCATTAACTACCCATAGTCACCTCATTAACTACCCATAGTCACCTCATTAACCTCCCATAATTGCCTCATTAACTAGCCACAGTCACCTCATTAACTACCCACAGTCACCTCATTAACCTCCCATAATCGCCTCATTAACTACCCACAGTCACCTCATATACTATCCGTAATCACCTCATTAACCACCCACAGTCACCTCATTAACCACCCATAATCACCTCATTAACTAGCCACAGTCACCTCATTAATCACCCGTAATCACCTCATTAACTACCCATAATCACCTCATTAGCCACCTGTAATTACCTCATTAATTATCCCATCAACTAACCACCCATAATCACCTCATTAACCACCTGTAATCACCTCATTAACTACCTGTAATCAACTAACTAGCCATCTGTAATCACCTCATTAACGACCCGTAATTACCTCATTAACCAGCCATAATTACCTAATTAAACAACTGTAATCACCTCATTAACCAGCCGTAATCAACTAACCGACCACCCATAATTAGCTCATTAACCAGCTGTAATCACCTCATTAACCACCCATAAAACTCGGAATGAAAAATAAACTTGGAATTAAAAGTAAACTCAGAATTAAAAATAAACTCAGAATTATAAATAAACTGAATTTAAAATAAATTCAAAATTATAAATAAACTGAATTAAAAATAAACTCAGAATTATAAATAAACTCAGAATTAAAAATAAACTCGGAATTAAAAATAAACTCAGAATCAAAAACAAACTCAGAATTATACATAAACTGAATTTAAAATAAATTCAAAATTATAAATAAACCGAATTAAAAATAAACTCAGAACTACAAATAAACTGAATTAAAAATAAACTCAGAATAATAAATAAACTGAATTAAAAATAAACTCGAAACTAAATATAAACTCAGAATCGAAAACAAACTCAGAATAACAAATAAACTGAATTAAAAATAAACTCAGAATTAAAAATAAATTCAGAATGAAAAACGGACTCAGAATTATAAACCCGGAATTAAAAATAAACCCGGAATTAAAAATGAACCCGGAATTAAAAATAAACTCGGAATTATAAATAAACTTCCCTTGGGAACGGCCTCGGGAACGACCCCAAACCAGGGGCCCAAAACCCCAAGTGGAACCCGAATCCTCTAAAGCCGGGCCTAAAATTGGTACCTGGGGGTTTCCAGGTGGAACCCACCCCCTCCTAAAGCCAGGTCTAAGTCGGTACCTGGGGGTTTCCAAGTGGAAAACCAAGCCAGGCCTAAAGCCGGGCCTAACTGAACCTTCCCCCTCCCTAAGCCAGGCCTAAGTCGGTACCTGGGGGTTTCCAAGTGGAACCCACCCCCTCCTAAAGCCAGGCCTAAAATCGGTACCTGGGGGTTTCCAAGTGGAAAACCAAGCCAGGCCTAAAG